CCCCAGAGGGCTGATTATCTGGAATGAAGTAAATTGTCTTGCTTAATTGTCCCAAAATAAATCTGAGCCAAGCAGATAGAAACAAATCAAATATCAATTTTGGGCCTATAAGTCGCAAACCGAAAATATTTTCTTTGTATGCTAGGACGCCCAAACGAAAAAAATTAATGAAAATGAAAATTAATTTTTATTGCAAATGATAAAATGCTTAATCGGTCTTTATATAGTCGTCAGAATTGTGTACGAAACCGTTGACTGTAAAATGTAAGTATAGGCATGGACGTTCTGCCTTTGAACTTACGAAACATTTGCAATTTTTAGACATCCTGTGCCGGATTTACGTCTCTGATGGTTCGTAGAAAGTGTATGATTTCGAAAGTCAGAGCCAAGCCTGACGGAGACGCCGTTCTTATCCCATTAGAAACTGCCGTATACTTCGAAAAATTTTGTCTCCCTCGTAAGAGCTATGAAAGCATTTAATGAAGCTACTGTTCAAATGTCAATTAATCTAGGGAATGACCGAAACCCCTGTAGGGAACAATTTTTCTACCTTTTTCCAGGCAAGGACTTTTACGTTGAGTCTATTCACATTGCATCGGCTGCATCGTTAAGGGAATGCGCCGAAATATGCGTTCGACAGGATTGTCTGGTAGGTCTACCGTAAACATTACTTTCAGGATTTGCAAGTTTTAACTTATATTTTAGACTGCTGTCTACAACGCTGATTCCCATGAATGCCACATCAAGGATCTCACCGCGGCTAACAAGCGAAGCTACCTCGCCGACAAAACCAACAGCTACTACTTTGAGAATGGGTGCAAGAAGCTTTCGACATTTTCAATCGAAAGTAAGTTGAACAATTGAAAATTCTGCCATATGAGGTTCAATGGATGTGGCAAAAAACAACTCACAGTCATGACTGAACTAAAAGTTTTATTAGAACGTAGTGCTGTAAACTCTTGTTATGTGAGGGATAGGAGATGGCGTGAGGAGCCGCGCGGGCAGCTTGAGAATGTAGTGCCGTCCCCTGCTCGCCAATAATATCTTTTCATGGACTACATCTCACAAATATCCTTACTTCTCTCAATTTATTCAGCACGATGATGGTTCAGAACCATCATCGTCATCGTCATCTTCCATCGCCGCTTCTCCTTTCGGGTCGCGGAGGCAGACGCGTCAGACAGTGCTTCCAA